AGTAGGCTGAGGTAACTTTTAAAAATAATTTTTCTTAACCTGATGTTTGGAAGTTTTTTATCATTTTGTCACTTGAATATTCTAATATAAACTAAATTTGTGAATGAAGTTTTTAAGTCAGTTTAGTATTTATTGATGGGTGTGTATTTCTCCTTGTCAGAGGGCTCATAGTATGGAGGAGAATGTGTTACAATAGAATACTGTGGTTTATAAACAATGCTGAACTGACACCACTAAAAGCAGAAGCCTTTTATCCCCAGCGGAGCTGCAGCTTTGGTGGTAGCTGGGGGCTCTTCTGTAGCTGGTAGACAGTCCTGAGACTCTGCCTGACCCATCCCAGAAGTGCTGCCTCAAAGGATGAGATCGTTTTTCTCAAATCTCCATCTGCATTTGACTCTGTGCCTTTGGAGATGAGGGGGGACAGTTACTAATGCATGTTAAATGTGTGCACATTTGTAGGCTTTGGGCTGATGCTGTGAAACTCTTCACTAGGACAGTGAATAACCAGGGATGTCCATGGCTTTACACTGCCACAGCTGCACTCCTGTTTGCATCATGGAGCCAGAGGAGAGCTCTGTGCTTCTGCCATTGCATCCCTGATCACCAATCCCAGCTTGTCTAAGCTTTACTTGCAGCTCAACACTTTTCCCTGCTGGCCTTCATCTGTTGCATAGCTGTCAGATCAGCTGTACCCTTCAGAGAAGCAATTAACTGCAGCAATGTATTTGTGTTTAGAGTTTAGCTACTACATGTTGAAGCTGCTATATGTTGAATCACTCTTGTGCTGTGATTTTTGGGGTAGTTAGCTGTAGCGTGTGCCCTGAAATTTAGCACAGTAGGGTTTTTTCAGAAGGCAGGGGATGGGTAATCTTAACTGATGCCACGTAACAGCCCACTGTCTAGGATCTGCACATCTTGGCGTTTGTGTCTCAGTGTAGGCGAAATATTGGCAGTTCATGAATGGACTGAACAGACCAAAGAGCTTTTATGGGGAAAGCAACTGGTTTGGAATAGAAGCATAACAAGAAAATACATGGCCTTGCTGGAGGAACAGGTACAGCAAGTTCAAGGATTTAGAAGATGTGGTAATGAGTATGTGGGTAATGAACAAAGTTCTGCTATCTCTGAAGCCAATGGAAAACATTCATTGACCTCATTGGGGCCAGGATGTTGCCCATGGCCTTTGCTTAGCATTGAAGCACTATCATGCAAAAAAGAAAGAAAGAAAAAAAAAGAGATAAAGAAAAGCTCTTGGTGGACTACAGATTTCTTCTGCTTTTTTTCTCTATATCTGCTTGTAAACGTTTTGATGTCTTTGTAATTATGCTTTATTTCAACATTTTTCAGTATTTCAAATGCCACTGTTTTTATAATAAAACATTAAAACTTTTGTCCAAAGCCCAACACTCATGAGGTGTTTTATTTAATTTGTATGTGTTTGAGTAAGAGCATGTGTTTTTTGCTAGAACCATTCAATTTTCAAGCCTTTTTGAGGTACTATAATTTTTTTAAGAGATTCCCTTCATCTGAACTCTTCAATGTTTAGGAAATCCTAGTGACATTCTTTTGTTTTTGGGATGAAAGAACAATCCAGACTTATAACACTGACAAGCTGACTGAGGTGCTGATGATAAACAGCAGCAAATGATATTACTGTTTTTGTGTCAAATTCTTCAGTACCCCTCTTCCTGACTTCAGTGGTGTCTAAGGGTTGCATTTTCCTTCTGGCCTCACTGTTTCACCCCTGGGAATTCATCACAGTAATACAGAGATGGGCTCAATAGTTTACAGCAGCACATTATTTAATACCACTCTCTAATGTAGGCAAAAAGAATACACTTCTACAACTAAATATTCTTGATCATAGGCTTTCCTAAATAATTGAAAAGCACCTTTCAGGGTAAATTAGGTGGCAATGTACAGCATGCCTGTGTGATTAATCTCTTTTGTCAGCAGTTAGGAAAGGGTGTATTGGTTGTTGCTTGTTTGATATGGCTGTGGCAGTGCCTGGAGCCTTCCAGTACCACGTCCCCCAGCAGTGCTGCTGCACAGGCTCCCAGGGATGCAGAAGTGCTCTTCAGTGAGAGAACAGAATTTACAAAAACAACCAAATCAGAACACAAAGCTCTAAGCAACTCTTGTCAACTTCCATTCTTTCACTTCCCATTTGTCAGAGGCTGAAAAATCATCACACAGCTTAATAAATGCTCTCTGCAGTTGCTTTGAAAATCAGACAAAGCTTTGAGTTCCTGAAGAAACTCCCCTTCATCACCACATGTTCAGGTGAATCCCTGGTTTCTGTGCTTTTAGGACAGAGGCTGTGCAGATCATCAGCCTGCTCTGCTGCTCCTGGCTTCAGGAGGGTTAACTGGGTGTGCTGGATGTGTGCATTCTCCCAGTCTCTGATCTTTGCTAGCTGAAGACTATTGAAAATCCTCAGACAGAAGATTCAACATCCCCCCAACATGCTGAAGCACTGCTTGAGCTATAACTGAATGTTATTCCTTAGAAGAGTAAATAGAGAGTAGTTCTCTCTGGTCATTCAATAACTCAGTGCAGTCTAATTGCCAGTTCATGGGCCAGGTCCAGCTGGCACCCCCTGCCTTTTCCCTAAGCAATTCATTAGCTGCTTGAGGGGCACTTGCCTTAGGAACAGCCAAAAGCTCTCCACATGCCTGCAAATGGCCCAGCAACTGGAAATTGAGCCTCTGGTGCAGCCACAGTGTGGGATGTGGGATGAAGTGTGGCTGGCAAGCGTCTATGATCTCATTAAGGGCAAGCAATTAATTGTTACAGCCGCAGCTGTAAATGATGAAATACATGGCTTTAAGTTTCCACTTTCTCCTAAACTCAGTCTGCTCTATTTTTCTAATGATGCTCTTTCTTGTGGGCAGCTCTTGAAGGGGGAAGATTGGCTATATCCCTAATAAAAGAGCCGTGTCCAGATGTGATGAATCCATAGGCATTAAGATGTGGCTGATTATGTAACTGACAAGCTCCTGACCTACAAAGTTGTGTTTACTTGCAGGCAGACAGCAGGATGCAGATGTAGAGGCTGAAGGTTCACACTCAAACCATGGTGTAACACTGCCAGGGTAAAGACAGGCAACCATAGAGAGGAATTTGGCCTGCTGTTCCATAATTATCCATAACTGTAATTGTCTATAATTATCATCAAGGTCCCACCCAATGTGGAGATCAGTGGCACAGCCAACACGTGCACAAGCTGACTAGCAGGTAGACATGCTAATTGCCTGGCAGGAAATAATTTCTTTGCTATGCTTACAACATGGGCCTACTCTGTAGTGCTGAGTATTTTCTAAAGGTAAGCTGAATGTTGTGAGAGAGGTTTTTTAAGTCATGGGCCACAAAAATCAGATATAGGAAACCTTGTCCTTCTTTGATTGTACTGAATGAGACCCAGGGATCTTTTCAAGGTAAAATGAACTTTCTAGTATGTGCCATCCCTGACATTTAGCCCTGCAGGTGTTCTTGCAAAGGAAAGATCCTCCTGTACTGACTGCACAGACACTGTAATGCATTGATCTCAGAAACAACTCTGTGTCTTCTGGGGAAAAGGCCACTGTAAGAGTAATTGACCCCTGTGTCATCCCACCAAGAGTGTATCAGAAACTTGGCAAACACTATTTTCTATCAAACTTTGATTCTCCTAGTACACATGATTTTCCTTTGGTGGTGGTTCTGTGCAGCACACCTTGCAGGAGGGACTCACGGTAAACGGCTTCATCGAGCTCTTGTGGCAGCACCAGTCTCCTGCCACAGTGCTCCTCCTGGACACCTGCTGGTGTCCCCAGCTGCAAAGCCAGTCAAGGAGCTCATGTGTAAAGAAACCACAGCCATTAGGGGGTGACTCCCCGCCTCCCTGAGGAGGCAGTGTTCAGGTCCTCAGGCTCCTCCTGCTCACCCCGCCAAGATTCATGGAGGGGCAAATCCAGGCTGAGGCCGGAAGGGAGAGGCTGCCAGTGAGTACAGGAGATTTTCAATTTCCAGTGCTCACTGTTGTTCATGTGAAAGCACTGAGATATTGCAAGTACCATTTTAGATCGTGTTATTTTTAGACATTTTCATAGCTCCTCAACTGTGTGGAGGCTGCTATAAATGAACCACAGCTCTTTTAGTTTTGAATATTTTGATTATCTAAATGAAGAAAAGAATTTTTATTCGGTGTTTAAGACTTAGAAAATCTGAGCATACAGTGAGTAACCCAGAAACAGTCCTGGGTTTAGAGAAACTTTATATCATGCTGTCATATTTTAGCTTATTTTCTAACCCTGACTTTCTGACCCATCTGTTATGAGTTTAAAAGGTTTGGAACTGAGTTAAACTGACTCATACTGGTAAAAGATAATTCATATTGTTAACAGCAACCAACTAGAACAAATAGTACAGAAGCTTGGAACATTACATTAGGAATCCCAAAATGAAGTTGATTAATTCAGTAAACAAGAGTAAAATTCAATAATCACAAAACTCATTGTGATACATTTTTATTACTTTCTAGTCCTTTTTACAAGAAACCACTGATCTTCCAAATTAGGCTGTTTTCCTACAAAACTAATCTTGGAGAAAAAAGATGGTAAAATTTGTTAATGCTGACTTCAGGATATCTGTGATTTTGCTGTATGAGTCACCAACAGGCAAGCTTCTCCCTGACTAATTTATATGAGGGTTTTTTTCCTCTCATTGATATGTTAATCCATTGCTTTTACTCGAGTACATTCTTCTCTTTTTTAAGGAAGCAAAAAGTCAATCCATACTTTCAGCCTGGGTATTTTTCACACCTTCTGCACCAGTTCTATAGATTTTTCTAAATTCTGCTGAGGGGATACAGTATACTTTATATTGCAGTTTCCGTGTAAAGATACTACTTTCTCTGTGACGTTGAAAAACTTTTTAAATCTAAAAATGTTTGTTCAGCATGGAAAATAACCAAATCTGAGGAGCTAACTAACCATTTCTCTCTTTTTTTTGGTTTTTTTGGGGTTTTTTTGGTTTGTTTGTTTTTTTTTTTTTTAGTTTTAGAATGCAGAGTAGCAGGCACATGCATAAAGTTATAGGAAAAAAAATTAAAAATAGCAGTAGCTTGTTCCTGCCCTCATACTCAAGTGCCTTCCATTTGGGATGGAGGAGCTCCAACATGTCCTGCACTGCACCTTTTATCTCCTGGCAAAGAAGCCAATGGACAAGGTGTTCCTGTAACTTTGGTTGACCTGTAGTAGTGTTGGTCAGATCAGATCAGATCACTGTGCCTCTGTTTCTGAACCCCCATCAGGACAATATTTTCACTAGAAAGTGATGCGAGCTCTGCCCGAGGTTGCATATGATTATCAGTTCAGAGTCTGTAGGTTTCCATTCACACAACACAGCAAATGCTGAAGCAGAACAGCACCTTATTCTTCAAAATCTTGCCATCCTGGCTATAGTTCAGTGTGTGGTTACAGCATTCAACCCCCATCTTCTAGCCAAGGACAGACTGAAGAACAGCACAAAAGAGAGAAAATATGGTATTACAAAAATTAGAAGAAAACAGTCTTAGTGCTGCATTGTTTTGACATCTTGCAAGTGCAGGACTTGAAATTTTTGAAGAAGTTGAAGCCTGGTCTCTCACTCACCTGATCCTAGCTGTTTTGCTGTCACCTTATTAAAATCTGATTATCCAAAACTAATTTGTGTTTGGTAAAACATTGTCAGGCTCTCTCAAGACAGAAGTGCAAATCTCCTGTCTAGACATGGGTTTTGAAAGCCCGACTAGTTTGGCTAATGAGGAACACCTCGATATCAAACCCTCCCTACCTGCTGAGAGGGAAGGAGTTAAAACGTCCTGCTGGTAAAGGAATCCCAAGCATTCTTTTGCAGCTGCTTCTGACTTGCAGATCTGTGTATGGCTTCCTGCTCTTACTGCTGTGGATGCTTTGGTCCTGCATGCCATGGTCTGTTCGTGAGGAAGTTTTATCACTAGTACTCGCTGATTCTCTGAGATTTTGCTCGGTCTGTCATGACTGTAAGCTGAGCCCAGAGTTTTTAATATATTTAGCCTCAGAAATCCTCTTTGAACTAGCAAAAAGGAGAGAATTAAGGCTCAGCGAGAAGGAAGTCTCTTGCCTGAGGTCATCTGGGCTGCTTGTGGCAAGGAAGAACTGGAATCTTTCACAGAGGGTAGGACTAAAATCATTACCCTATCACCTCTTCCCTTAAGTACAAGAAACAATGCCATCATTCTTAAAATACTCTTTAAATCGTTCTTTTCCTTTTTTTTTTTTTTTTTTGGGAGGATAAAGTGGAGAGGTTTTTTTTATGCAAATTCAATAGTTCCACATCAGCTTTTCCTGCTGTGGAAAGCTTCTTTGTGATGTTAAATGAGATTCACATTATTCTTCCCAGTATCTTTGTTGCCGAGTATAACAAGCAGCGTTTGCAGAGTATAACAAGCAGTGAAGCTCAAGGGAATCACATCATTTTTTTATTCTGAGTCTGGCTGACAAAGATATGAACACTTAATTAAGATTTCTTTCATCTCATGAAAATAGCCCTGACAGTCTGAGCCTGAGGAGAGCTTGATCTTAGCGAAGGCAGTGTCCAACTGCAAGCTCTTAGCTGGAACACTTGCCCTCACAAATCGCTTGAACTGGGAGTGGGATCTAAAGGTTTCCAAGTGGATGTCCAAACTTTGAGGGAGGGGCTCCTCCTTTAATTTCTGGCTCATTCTAATCCTGTGAACTCCTGCTTCACACAGGGACAGACCAACAGGAAGGAGAATCTCTCAGCTCCGCAGAACAATGCCATCAATTCAGGCATGCATGCAGCAGGAATAGCTGGCTTAGGCTTCCCAAAGTGCTATCTGTGAAAAAACCGATTTTTTAAATGACTGATTACAACAAAATGCACATTCTTTTTTCTATTTTTTTTACATGGACACGTGTATATTGATTAAAATTAGTCCCTTCTTGTTACATTAAATCAGAGTGTTGATAATTATGCATCTGTGCACAGGGCTGAGAACATCATAGCACTAAAGAAACAAACAATAGTTTGTAAGAGGATCATTACAGCCATCTCAGCAGCACTTACAACATGTTTATTCAAAAATGAAATATGCCCTAAGGAAGAAAAACACCAACTATGGAACTCTGGGGATTTAAAATAAAAAGGTCACTTTTAAAGCCCTTAAGTAAATAATTTCAAACAACTCAGCAACAGCTCACATTAGAAACAGACTAGGCAGCTAAAGCAATAAAATGTGTTAATTGTACAATCTGGAATGTATCAAAAGGACAACCACTGTCACCCCCATTACCTTCTCATTGTTCAAAGTGAAAAAACTCAGTACTGACGTCCATCTTGGTGTATATAAGGCACAGCAAATATTTATGGTTCTGTGTCTCAGACTGTGCACTGCCAAGAAGGAAATACTTGCAGCTGCAAGTAGAAGGTTAAATAAACTGTGTGCACTTCTGCACCAACAGCTCAGGTCTCTCCAGAAACCATGGGGTCAGGGGAAGTTTACAGATCCTGCTCCATGTGGGAACAGGAGACTGTGTGTCTAAGTGGTGGCGAAACTTATCACATACACAAATGAAGACAGCACTTGGATTTACACACGTTATTTCTAATTAACATATTCAAAAATGCAGCACCCGCAGGTTTCAGTGGAACTAATGAAGCATTTCCATTACCCACTCACCAGCAGGAGCTTGAGTAGGGCTTGGAGTCACCAACAAAGTAAAGCACTTCTGTGGACTAAATTTCACCTCTTCTGTTTTCCCTCTGGATGGCATATGCTCTTAGCATGTAACACAGTCTTAATATTATTCTTTAATCCAAGGAATTAAAAGAACAGCAAAACGGTTCACGTGAGCTAAACCTTCTGTAGCGAAATTCAGCAAAAGCAGGAGGATGTTGGCAGCAGCTCAAAGCAGACCTCTTCATGCTCTGCCCAGGTGTCACGGTTTAATAATGGTACTTCTCAGTTCAGGACCCCCACTGAGACCTTCCCAAACCACACACTGCTCCTTCTCACTCCCCCTTCCCCTCATCTTTCCTGCTGCATTGGGATGGAGTTGAGAATTAGAGGCACAACAATATACTGGAAACATCAATGAGATAAGAAACCTGCCCCCGCTCCCAATACACAATACCAGTCGGGTCCCTCCTCCACGTTTTCTCCACAGGAAAAAACCCTTTTCCCCTGCTCCTGGCAATGATCAATGATGTGAGCTGGGACAGAATAACCTCCACATCCGAGTCACGCTCCCTCCTGGCACCTGCAAAAAAATTAACACTACCCCAGCTGGAATCAGGACATCAGGAGACATTACTTACTCATTACTATATTAGAATTAAGGGCTGTCCATAATCACAAAATCAATTAGGTTGGAAAAGACCTGTGAGATCATCGAATCCAAACCATGACCTAACACCATGTCAAACAAGACCATGGCACTAAGTGCCACGTCCAGTCTTTCTTTAAACACCTCCAGGAACACTGACTTCTGGTCCAACGTCTCATCACCCTTTCAATGAAGAAATTCCTCCTGACGTCCAGACTAAACCTCCCTGCCGCAGCTTGAGGCCGTGTCCTCTAAATCTGTTGCCAGCTGCCTGGTAAGAGGCAGAAGAGGCCGACCCCACCTGGCTACAGACTCCTTGCGGGGAGTTGTAGAGAGCGGTAAGATTCTCTCTGAGCTGTCTTTTCTCCAGGCAAAACACCCTCAGCCGTTCCTCCTTCTACTCCAGCCGCTTCACCAGCTCTGTTGCCCTTCTCTGGACATTCTCTACAACTTCCATGTCTCTCGTGAACTCGGGGCCACAGAACTGAGAATTCGAGCCACCTCTCACCCGTGCTAAGCACACGGGAACGTCTCTAGACAACGCAGCTTTCCGCATAGGTTTTTCGCTACGTCCCCGGCTGCCAAGTTCCGGTTCTCCAAACACCCGGCGAGCTGCTCCCTATGCGCCAGGCGAGCAGGGCAGGGCAGGACTTTTTCCTGCCAGACCCGCCTAAGGGCCGGTGGCAGAGGCGGGCAAAGCCCAACATGGCGGAAAAGACACCGCCCCCACCTCAGGTGCGGCCCCCGCCGCCGCAGGTGAATGCGGGGCGTCTGTACCAGACTACTGTGATTGGTTAGAGGTGCTGTCAATCACCTGTCACCACGGCAACAAAGGCCCGCCCTGCGAGACTCTCTCGGCGGTTGATTGGTCAGGGCGGCGGTGACGCGCGCCGGGGGGTTTTACGGTGTTCGGTGTCGGGAACTGCTTGGAGAGGGCGGGTGGTGCGTCCGGCGGTTGGAGCTGCGCGCTGCCGCCATGACGTTCAAGCGGAGTCGTGACCGCTTCTACAGCACCCGGTGCTGCGGCTGCTGCCATGTGCGCACCGGCACCATCATCCTGGGCACCTGGTACATGGTGAGAGGCGGGGGCGGACGGCCGGCGGCTGGAGGGGCGGCGGTGGGGGCCGTGCTCAGCGCGCGTGCGCGGGGTGCTCGGTGGGGCGGAGGAGCGGCGCCCGCGCGGCCGCTCTGAGGGACCGCGCGCGTCCCGCTCTCGTCCCCGCTCCTGTCCCGCTCCTGTCTCGGGCAGCCGTTCCCTGTGCTGGGGCGGTCGGGGGAAGCTGCACCAGGGGATTTCCTGGGGTTACCCGGTGGGGCTTGGGTCCCTCTTCTTTCCCGAGGTCTCCTTCGGGCTAACGAAGTCCTGCTGTCCCTCGGCAGCCCCCCTTGATGTGTTTGCAAAAAGAAAGTGAAGACAAAGTTCAGAGTGTTTTAATCTGCGTTTCAGAGAGATTGTGTTACTTTTCTCTTTCTTGGTTTGGAGGGGTTGAGACTTGAATACAGTACTGAGCGTGTAAGGGAGGAGATTGGGGGACAGTGGAGTTCGGAGTGTGTAATAGGGGAATAAGATGACGTACCCGTGAGTGGTGTGCAACCTCTGAGAGGAAGATGAGTGTCCCCCACTTTGTGGCAAGGGAAGTTCCTGGTTATTCCATACTCTGTTCCTGAAACAGTGATTGAAAAGCAGTAGAAACAAATTTGGCTCCCAAAACGCTGCCATTTTTCTGACTGGTGAGTGCTTTCTCTCCGAGGAAGAGCTGTGGTAGTGCGGGCGAAATACTAGAAATAAAGTTCTGAACTAGGGCGAAGTAGAAAAGTGAAAACAGTAGCAGCAAGTTAAAGGCCTGGAGCCCTAACTTCCCTTGGTTCCCTTAAAGGGGGCCTGAACTCCCCTTTATTGAAGTAATTTCCTCATCCTTCCTTCCCCTTAACCCTCGTGGGCAGTAAAAATGAGAGGATAGTTTACAAAAGTTGCATCATACCTTTTCTGTTCTTCTGAAGCTGTAATCAAAAGCTGTGTTCTCCTCTGGCCTTCTCCGAATTGTAAGAAACAAACAACGCTGAATTTTTGTGTTGATATGAAACAGCCATGCACATAAACTGCCTTTAGAGGCATGGGGGTTTGATTTTGGGGAGCTTATGGTTTATTTTCAACAAGTATGGGGAGGTCCTTTATTTTTATGCATCTTGGTCCCTCAGTTGGCAAAAAAAAATGCACAGGCAAACAAAGTCGCTGGAGAGACAGGACTTGAGGAAAAGGGAGGGTAGGGCGTTGGAAATGTAACAAAAGCTTAGGGAAAAGGTATCTCTTTCAAAATGAAACTGGACAAAAGTCTTGGTGCCGATTAAGTTCCATTATTCATTTCAAAGGAAAAGGTCTATTGGAATTTTGAGAATCAAACTTTTGGAAACCTGCAAACCACCCTGTGCTGATGGATGGAGTTCAAGAATATGCTTCTGGTCCCTGAAGTAAAAGCATAAATCGTGAACAGCGAGGGGGACGGTGATCCTTGTTACAGAACAAAAGCACCTCGCTGCCTTCCGCCCTGCGATTCCTGTTCGCGGGAGTGTCCCTAAACGCAGGAACTTGCTGGGGGCGGGGGACAGGGAGCTGTTTCCGTGGCCACAGACCTGGTAGCACTTCCAGTTTCTACCTCTCCTGCTGTGCTTATGTTTCCCCTCGTTGCCTGGATGCGGCACCTCTTTCTTCTTTCTGAATGGGTGCTGGGGACGGTGGCGGCTGCCCCGGGCACCCGTGGGGCTGCGGCTCCAGGGGCGGAGTGCGGCTTTGATCTCGTGTGACCGCAGCCGCTCGGTCGCTGCAGGGAAAAGTAGAGCTGAGTTCAAGGTAGCAGGGGGCATGCAAAGTGCGAGTTTTTATTTAAAAAAAAACCCTGTGTATGGAACGCTTTGTTAAGCCGTGCGTTGAATATTTTTATCCAGTTCTCGGCTGTCACCTGGGTAAGGGTGAGAACTTTAACGTCTGGCAACAGCTGTTTGAGCTGGAAAAGGTTATAACATGGTGGTCTTCCCTAATGCTTTAAAATCAGAATTCAAATATAGATTACACTTTTTTTGAAGGTGAAATACAGTTTTGACAGTGAAAGTTAAATTTAATTGCCTTCTGCCAAGCTTTAAAAAATTGTCCAGAACATGTCAGATTTTTTAGACGTGTTAATTAATGCCCCATTTACGAATAGCTCTAACTTAGTCTTTCAGGTTCTTATGAGAAGTATTTCTAAATCAATTAAGTAATCTCTGCTTTTAAGTTGCAGTGGGACAAGTAGTAATAACTTTATGTGTAGGGTGGTGTTTTTTGGTTTGTGGGTTTGGTGGGGCTTTTTGTTTGTGTTTTGTGTGTTTTGGTTTTGTTGGGGTTTTTTGAAGGATGTAGCTCTTTGGAGAGGGAGAATGTTTTGTTCAAGAATAGTTTTGTTTTACTGAAAATCTTGCTATTTACTGTATAAATTGTGTTCTTGTGCAGTGCAGTCCTGAAGGAATTTGCTATCAAACTTAAAATGGAGTCTCACAGCAATCTACTCCAGATGTTTTAGTAAGATAAGACTTCTGTCTACTTAATACATGTGTTATTCTTACATAACCATTTCTTTAGGCATTTTCCTATTCCTTGCTATTTGTGTACATTTAAATCATGCCTGTAATTAACTTTGCTCCTTACTGGAACAGTTTTATTACTGTCCTTGCTGTGTGCTTCTGCAAGTCCAGAGAGAACCAGGACTACTTTCTAAAATGTCTGCTGCTGATGCTGTGTGAACAGAGTGTGTCTCAAGCACAGTTCTGTCTGTGTGCTGCTGCTGTTTGTGTACATATCAGTACATAAAAGTGTATTTACCAAAAGACAAGTTAAGAACATTTCTGGCAGAATTGTACTTGAGTTCCAGGTCTGATAAAGCTTGGTTAGCTCTGCAACACCCACTGCTGTTCTGTGTAGGAAGGAAAAAGAAACCTCCTGTTCCTCTCTCCATAATTGCAGTCGTGTTGCTTTGAAGTTTGTTTCTTCCTGTAAACTTTCATATTGGGCACTGCACTTTCCAGAGACCGGAAGCAGGAACACTGCCCTGGCAAAAATGGGATCAGAGTTCAGTAAACAGCATAGAAGCCAATAGTATTGTTCTGGAGGGAGGGGCTGCTGCCTTCTGGCAGTAAGCTTCAGGGCTGCAGGCAGTGATGCAATTGCTGCTGCTTAGCAGGAGCATGAGGGGGGTCTCTGCAACTGTGTGTTCACTGAACCAGATTGGGACTAGTTATACTGGCTCGTTTCTGTCAGTCTGGTACTGGTACTGCTAGAGGCTCTGAAGTACCCTATGTAAAATTACTCTTCTTCAGTTTTCACTATTTCAGTATCTTAATAAATCAAACCAAATCAGAATCTCCATCTTGTTTGGTTTTTTTTTTTCTTTTTTTTTTCCCTTTGGAAACTTGTCTAGGGAAAAATACTGGAAAAGTGAAAGGAAAATGAGTGAAGTAGTGCAAGGCAATTTCCCTCTTTCCCCTCATGAAAGGATATAAGCAAATTCTAAGTAGGAATTCTTGGTTTTGCCCAAGTCCCTCTGAGTGCTTGAGGAAAAGTTGACTTCATGCTTGGGCCTCCAGAGAGTTGAAGCACTTAGCTGATGAGGCATAAAGTGCACCCTGTGGAGATAAAACTCACTAATTAAAAAGCTAATGCTTCTTAAGAGTTCCACAGTCTTTTGAGTTCTAATCATATGGGGAGCTAATATTTCTGTTACCAGTGTGTAATAAATGATGACCTTCTACTTGAGAATTTGAAATTTCAGCTATTTGAATTTTAATACAAGCTACACCAAACTATTAAACTTAGCTATCCCAGATATGAAAACGTAAAATACACTCCTTAAACTATTACAAAACTAAATTAGGGTTATTTTCATCTTAATGGGATTATTTTTAAAATAAGAACTTGAACATGCATTTTGCAAACTTTTTTTGTCACTATTTTTGATTTCTTAGCAAAAAAGACCAGAATGATGATGCTGAGATTTCTGAGGTGTTATTTTAGGGTGCTGCAGTATCCACTGAGTGCTGTCTTGTCAGGCTTAGCGGTTTTTGAGTTTGTTGTTTTTTCTTTCTTTTTTTTTTTTTTTTTTTTTGAGGGGGAGATGGTGACGGGTTTAATCCTCATACTGAGGCATACATGAGTTTCATTTTTTCTGACTTCTCTATGTAAGCATTTTTGAACATACATTTGATTTGCAGTGAGTATATACTTAAAATCTCTAACCATGTTCTGTGGTCCAAACCATATTCTTGCTGCCTGTTACACTGATTATTTTGAAACTAACCTTGTGGTCTTGCTGTTATCAAGCTTCTGGGAAAGAATGGAAGTAGTTAAAATAGAGGCTCTGGCTCTGTAGGTCTTGATCATATTTAACATGAGTTTCAATTAATTAAGTGTTGTGATGGATTTGTAAACAGTAGTAATGGAGCGCTGGAAACTCTGAGGTGTTAATTGGCCATGGTTTTGGTTTGTTACTTGTTTTTGTTTAGATTTGTTTTGGTTTGTAACTATTTTTATTTTGTCTCATTGATTCTAATAGATTGGATTTTGAATGACTTATTTTCTGTTTTACTCAGATACTATTTCAGGTTGAGAAAATAAACCTTTAATACTTGGAACTACACTCAGTAACTAGTGAAATTACCAAAGACTTCGGTACACTGAATTAGGACCACAGATCAGATGAAAATAAAAAAGAAAGTGACAGATGGAGAATTACAATCTCAAAATTCTGAGGCATTCAAGTTCTTCAGTACTTCTGTAGTAATTCAGGTGCTGCTTACTCCTTATCCTGAGGCAAATAGTAATGAGTTTGACTGCCATGACAGGCTATGTATAAACAAGAAATGATTTAGTTGTAATTGAACATGTACTTTTGTGCTTTATAAAGTAGAGATCAATATTTCAGCTGCCAGAGACATGAACCTTGACTTAGGCTTTTTGAAACAAGTACAGTGCAGAAAGGTATTTTCCAACATACCCAGTTCACTCACTGAGAGGAGGAAATAGAGGGTTGAAAATGCAGAGAGCATTGAGAGCAGAAGGCCAGAGTACAGAAGGATGAAGCAGGTGGGAGATGAAAGTGTTCCATATTTTTGACGAATAGTGAAGCAAAATAAGATTTGAAAATGAGACAGGTGAGCAACTTGACAGTTTGCCCTTTAAGAAGTACCCTGTGAGGGTGAAAATAAGTGCAGTTCTAGGCTAAAGATATTGGTGGTTAAACAGAGTTCTTCACTGCCAGCTGTTTTGGCTACAATGTTTTATATAAAATGCCTTATAGAAATACAAGTGGCTCAAAATAGCTGGAAATTCTAGTAAATTTGTGCAATACATGATGAGATGATTGCATTTCTACAAAGTGAAATGCACTACCAACTTTAATTCCACTGAAGGCTTCTTTTAGCAGAAAGTGCAAGCAAGCTTATCACCATATATCTGTAAACCCCAGGGGAAAAAGAAGAAAAAACTAATAAAAACAGTGAGGGGAAAAAAGTTACAGGAACTGTGAGTCTCAAAATTTTTACAAGATTCGGATTTTTTTTTTCCTTTCTGAAATCTTCAGTAATTGTACATAGACTTGCCACCATCATTGACTTCTGGAACCATGTCCATAGAAGAAGAAATACCTGGCAAATATTCTTCAGTTGTTAGAAACTACAAACCAGTTTTCTTTTTCTTTTGAGGCTAATTGGAAGGGATCCTGCTTCTGGTGTTGACAGTACTGAATACTGATTGGAAAATGTCTGCAGCTAGAAAAGACCAGCACGAGGTTTTTTTTTGTGTTATGCAACCTTTGGCATGTGTCTCCAGATACTAGTAACAGAAACTATGTCCCTGTAAACCTTGGATACCTTATAAATGCTGTCAAGGCAATTTTACAGAGGCTTCAGCTACTTCTGATTCTTTGAGCTCTTACTGAAGACATTTCTGGTGTGTAGCAAAATGGGGCAACAGAAGGAGTCTTAAGTGGCAGCGTGAGGGAGGAGAAAGACTGGTGAGCACACACTGTGGGGGTTGATCTTTGTGTGAAATTTTTTAACTTCCCCTGTGGTTGTGTGGACCTTTTTGATAAGGTGAGGTTTTAATAAGTGACCTGGGAAGCAGAGGAAAGTCTTCTCTCTAGCTTATTAAGGCTGAAATGTGGCAGAAACCCAGTAACTTATTGGTATGTTAAATTAACTCAATTTGTTGTAGAAAGCAGAAATTCTTTCAAAATATTCCTCATTCTGTACCTTTATCTTCCTGACCATTTTTAACTGTTTCCAGTTTTTCAGTTCACAAGCCTGTACATTCATCAGGCAGCATCAGCTTAATTATTTGAATCCCTAGGAATCTTACCATCCCCTTGATTTGCAAAGTTATTCAGTGGTGATTCATTGAACCTAGCAAGTGCTCCACACTCTTTGGGTTGTTTTAGTAGTCATTTAATTAAATGAGCTTGAAATTTAACTGTAAGTTGGGCTCTTTTTTTTTTCTTCTTCCACATACAGGCAAAGAGAAGAGTTTATTTTTAACTGAAATAAGGGATTATTAGTGGTCATTAAAAACATCTTAGCTGTTGCAAAGTAATTAACCTTGAGGTAACTGTGATCTCTCTCAGGTGGTGAACTTGCTGATGGGCATCTTGTTGACAGTAGAAGTGACTCATCCAAATATGGTTCCAACTGTTGATATCCAGTATGAAGTCATTGGAAATTACTATGCTTCCGAGAGAATGGCTGGTAGGTCTAGAGCTCTGCTGGCTGATGGGAATATACAGCATGCACTACCATGGATTTGTCTTACACTAGGTTGTAATATATGCATACGACTTTTCAGAAATATGGTTATCTTGTTTTCTGAATTTCTCTTCAGTTATTCTGGGATCGAATTCTTCTACAAGAATAAAAAGAAAGCTTTATGGATTATTATTATAACTTCATTTTATACCCAAGCATTTTAAGTCACGAGATTTCTTGGCCTTCTGATACTTTGAGTGTTGAAGTATGTGTGGGACATCTCTGACTCACTTTCTCCATAAACATTAATTATCTTTGCTGACTCAGTAAAACAAGCAGCAGAAAACAAGTTTAAAGACTTTTCTTCAGAATTTTTGGTCATCTTCATAGATCAGGAAATACCTTAGAGCTCCTGCATATGAATTTACTGAGAAGAAAACCATGATACCTTTTGAAGAAGAGAGGAACAATTGGGATGCCAAGTATTTGAGTGAAACCAAAGTGTTTCTTGAAGTTTCACCTGCAGAATAAATGAGAGAAAGCACCTTGAGCAGAATTGTGCCCACTTTTCACTCTTTTACTAAGTGTATATGTATACAGCTGTAATTGGTGTCAAGCTTTTTAATTATTGTATCTGTAAACTTGAGCATATGCTTTGCTTCTCTTGGTTTTAAATGTGCAGAAATGTTTAGTTTAGTATGGCACTTCTAATCTACCTCAGTCTGTTGTATTACATGAAAATTTAGAGAGGGTCAGATTCAGCAAAGTTAAATAGAACAGCACAAAACTGGTTTTGAGCATTTTGGATTAATTGTTCATGACCTGAGTTGAGGATCTGTCAGTTCTGACCTGTGACTGTAACTCACATTTGGTACTAATGAGATGGGAGTGGGAGCAAGGACCAAATTCTTCATGAGGCTAAGATATTAAGTAAAATCACAGCAGATGTCTGTAAAATGTCATATGACCTGTAAAGGCCTTTGGGGTACTTGGTAGCCTTAAGCTTACATGAGTGAAAGATGCTTCTGAAGCTGAAGGTGCATTCTTCACTCTTTAGTGTAAAATCTATCACATGCTTTTGACTTAAAAATTCTTATTCCTTATGTTGGGATCTGGGCTGGAGGGCTTTGTGTGTGTGAAAGAACCTTACAGGTGTTATTGTACTAGTGTATATTGTGAGTAATAACTCCTCAGAAGACAGCCACGCTTGCTGGTGATTGCTGAGACTTATGTCTGATCAACACAGTGCATTTCAGACATGGGGGGGCTCTTCCTTGATGCCATCTGTGTATGTAGATATTAATTGCAGAGTAGAAAGGATTCTCAGATAATCTTTTTCAAACAGAACAAAAAAATTTTGGCTTCAATACTGCTAAAACCCATTTATTTACCATATCTATAGACTCTCAGGCTGCTTTCTTTGTGTTTCAAAAAGAACAAGTTTAATCTAACTTGCGGAAAGCAGCTCTGCTTCTGTAATCAGTAACTGTGATGCACAAGGAGAATCTTTATCATGCAGCTTCCATGAATGTCCTGGATTTTGCTACAAATTGGTTTCTGTTCAACTGCCTTTTCTTGTAAATAGTGGGATACCTTCCACACAGTGATTTCCTGTTTTCCTTAGTGTTACTGAAGGAGCAGTGCTGCTCCCACTGCCAATGACCAAATTATGTAACCAAACCATTTTCAAGTGTAAAGGTTGATAGTGTGCTAGCTTCACTTAAGATTCTGTCCAGTTGTAAAGTTAATCACTCACATACTTTCAGCACTGACACATATTGCAAATCAGCATCATTATGGTGCGTTACTGTCAAACTATGTCAAGCTTCTAATTGGTGTTCCTGGGCTTTAGTCAGGCTTTTGATTAAGGCAGAGGGGTTTTTCCAAGCAGTTGTAGGTTTTCTTGAACCAGATCTTTTTTTGTTATGAAGGATTTGAATTACTCTATTCTGCTGCTGGTAGTTGGCATGGATGAGTCAGTTGGGAACAGATCATAGTAATGGATAAAGCTTGGGTACCTGTCAGCTGCAGTGTGACAGCTCCAGGAAATGACTGATTCTTACTGTTTTTTTTTTTTGTTTGTTTGTTTGTTTTTTTTTTTTATGCAGAAAATGCCTGTGTACTGTTTGCTATCTCCCTCCTCATGTTCACAATCAGTGCAATGATGGTGTATGGTGCCATTGCTGTAAGTATATTTATAATCCATGGTTTGAGAGTTGCTACTTGATTTTTTTTAACTAAATAATTTACATGCTCCTCCTTTTTTCTATTTCTTAGCATCGTGTAGGCTGGCTGATACCATTTTTCTGTTACCAACTCTTTGACTTTGTGCTCAGTTGTCTGGTTGCCATCAGCTCTCTAACCTACTTGCCCAGAATCAAGGATTACCTGGATCAGTTGGTAAGTATTCAGCTCAAATTGATATTTTACATTTGAAATTAAAGATTTTTTTTAATTGGATCAGTGACTGAGCTACACTTCCCTTTGCATAAGAAAAAGGAATTCAGCCTGCAGCAGCCATAGGTGGTTATTAGGGGCATGATAGCTTACCAGAGGTGGAAGAGTTAAAGTAGTCATTGCTCCCTAAAAGAAAAGCCAGGGAGAGTAAGGAAAGAATTGTGATGGGAACTCCTGGTTTAAACTGTGTTGGCTACAATTGGATTTGAAAGTGTGTTCTTTAACACACTTACCTGTGCCTTTTAAGCAGTGGGGCTCAATGGCACATTTGCTACTGCAGATTAAAAATGTGTTGACCCTTATTTGGTAGGGAACAGGAAGAGAAGTATAGGTAAGGACTGTAGAAGTGTAGGTAAGGGTTCCCACAGCATTACACATGGAATCTGAGCTTTCCTTTTTACATTCTGTGTGTCTCTTCTCAAGTTGCAACAACACTTTCTAAGGAAACTGCAGTGGAGTTCTCACTAACACTGCCTGTGTTTTAACTGCAAGAAGAGTCAATACATAGAATGTACTGGCTGCATTGACAGACCATGAGCTCTGTCTGGCTGGTGCTGTGATTTGTTCAAGTAGATGTTTAAAAGCAAGTCCTTTTTAAAACAGATAAAATCTTGGATTGGTGTTTGAGAGACGCTTTGTTATTGTGGTCAGGGAAGGAAAAGAGACAGGTTTACAGAAGTTCTCTGTTTTTGCTCCCCCAAGTTTGGGGTGACATCTTACACTGCACACCAGTGTGTTACAGGTTGGACTGACAGGATGTAATTAACAGTAAGTCATTAGAGTTGTAGAGGACCATGAGTACAAATACTGTCCTGCAGCTGTGAAGAAGAATCTGTGTTGGCATGAGACTGATGAAGTGACACAGGGACACAAACTGTACGGTAGTGATCTGTTCTTGTGGGACAGAGACAGGATTAATACTGTGCTTTGTGGGAGGATAAAGAGGAAACTTGTTAGAAATGGAACTTTTTGTTTCAGGGGAGTAGTTTACACAAGGGTTTGTTTTATTTGGTGTGAAGTTTGGATATTTTTCTATCATACTAGATTGTGCAGTGTTCATTCTTATCTCTTCCCTTTCTCTCCCTTCCCCCCGTTTTGTTTTTTTTTTTTTTTTTTTTTTCACTAGCCGGATTTTCCATACAAAGAGGATCTCCTTTCTTTGGACTCCAGCTGTCTCTTGTTTATTGTTCTGGTGTTCTTTGTATTATTTATCATTTTAAAGGTAAGTTAAAACTTAATCATGTGTCTGTTTCAAGAGTTAATAAATATTAAGATGGTGTCAATCTGAGTTAATTCTCAATGCTGAATTTAGAACCCAGCTGCTTTCTTAATGCTGAGGTAAGAACTTCTTTGAGCACAATTGTTGGAATGTTCAGTTCCAGTATGACTTAGGTCTAATCTGTTGTGTACTGGTGTCTTCAGCTAACTTGTGTGTGTGTAGTGGGGTGTGCTTATGCAGCTCTGCCATTCCTAAGTAGAAAGAAGGAATGCAAAAAGACTTTTTGTCTATGTGGAAATAATTTTAATATTTGTAATTAGGCTTGTAGTGAAATAATACTGAGTCAATGTATATAAGTTTCTAAACAAAATGTTTAAAATCTCTCACTGTGCCTAACAGACCAGAATGGAAGTTTTGGAAGGAAGGTGATGGAATGAGGAAACGTATAAGTTAATTCTAGACCTGCATCTTCCTCCCTTCTGAAGGGTGATAGTAGCAGGCACTTTCTTTCTGAAGATCTAAATAATGAGGCATTCATTTGGGTTATAAAAACTCTTGTGTAGACAAAGTATATTAGAGAAATGTATATTATAAATACATTGGCCATGATACTGTTCCTTTATTGCATTCAGGTTGCATTTAAGAAAAAATAAATAATGAAAAATAATTTTACTGATTTTCTATACTTTTTCCAAGAGGAATGTTTAACTGGGGAGAGTGAAAGCCTAATACAGTAGATAGCGCTTGTGTATTGATTGGGAAATTTGGTACCTTTTGTACAACAGTGCTAACTTGTCAGTGAGAGATTTGGAGAGGTTAATGTTACACAAATTAGTAATAAAAAATCCCTAATCCTCATCATATCATGATAATGTTTCTTTCTGCAGCAGTCAGTGTTGACTCGAAGTTCGGGGTTCACTGCTCTACGCTCTCGCTGCTGCCTCAGTTGTGTGTCTGAGCCCTCTCCTTAACACTGGCAGTTAGTTGGAGCTATAGTGCTAACTGGGGGATGAGTGGGATTCTACTGTTGGCCTCTCCTCCTCCTCCTCCTGGCAGGCTTGGACTGAGATCTGCAGAAGCATCAGCCAGTTGGGGATTAATTTGATTAGCACTGCTGAGGCAGACAGAGATTAGTTGAATGGATCTGTGAATTCTTTTGCTAAAACCTGTGTGGTGCATCCTCTATGAGTCACTGTGAATGCAAAATGGAGAGCAACATATGTATGTGGCCAGGTCTGTGAAATAGCAACCATTCCTCAGCTATGTGTTGTCTAAGTTGATGTATGCTCCTTTTTATCATAGGAATGTCATCCAGCATCTAATTTCTGAATCGGCCAATGCTTATGAGGTGTTTAAAAGAAAAATCTCTCTTCTTTCAGGCATATCTAATTAACTGTGTATGGAACTGCTATAAATACATCATCAGCAGAAATTTGCCAGAGATTGCTGTGTACCCTGCTTTTGAAGCTCCTCCACAGGTAAAATCTCGTTTCAAGTTAAAAGGAAGCAGTATCATTAATTTTGAAGTAGAAAAATCACCACATCCATGTATGTTTCCAAGCCTTGTCCAGTTTTCTAAAGAAAGACTGGAAAGATAAAAAATTATAAAGCAGCTAATTTTGTGGCGGGTTATTTCTTAACTAAATTCTGAGTGTCTAAAAGAAGGGTCTTTAGAGAGGAGTCTTTGAATATTTTTCTTGTGGTAGAGGGAAACTTTGATTGCACCAGTCTGAACCTTCCTTGCTGCTTTGCAAAGTCAAGATGCAGTGGGGTGTGGAATAAAGGACCAAGGGTTAGGCTCAGCAGAGCAGTAAACTGCTTCTGCACCTTCTTTCACTTCCTCATTTGCTTACTAGGAACAGCAGTAAATTCTTAAAATAACTTTGCCTGCAACAGAGGATTAAGTTGCTGATGAGCCATGTATGCTTTTGTTCTCTTTTTTTCTTTTTTTTTGTTTCCCATTTGAAATCTCTTGCATTAATCACTTCAAAATGTCTTCTCCTTAGTATGTTCTGCCAACCTATGAAATGGCAGTGAAGATGCCTGAGAAGGAACCTCCACCTCCCTACATACCTGCCTGAAGCAATTTTTATGTTCATTAACATCTGTACCAGCTTCCTGGGGGTTTTGTCTTTTAATCTTGCAAAACTGCTTAAGTAATAGAAATATTCAGGGCTTTAGGAGCAAACTGTTCTGTTTAAAATATGTTTGATATAAACTTACTAAGCAACACACATCTGAGAGTGATTTCATTTGCTTTAATTTTTGTTCTCCCTAATGCTCTTAAACATTTTATTGCCTTAGGGCCTTACACCTGCAAGAACTTATGCATGTGACTAACTTGTGGCTTTTAATAATACCAATTGAGCCACTCTGATTGAAGTTAGCTGTGATTTTAAGTGTCTGCAGGATTATGCCCTTAATTTATATTAATTTTTTGTAAAGTAGTTCATAAAGACAATCTGATCGTGCAGCAAAATGACAGTTTGCCTTTATCCATTTTTTGGAAGGGGAAGGGTTTGAATGTGGTATATATGTGACTTTTTTTTACTTTGCACTTTTCTCATATGTTATCTTACCTTTTATTGTGGTTTTTTTGGTTATCCTTTGTCTTGAAACAGTATTTTTGAGGAACAAGTGAGGGTGGCACAGGAGTTCTATTACAACGAGCTGGGAATGCAAGAAAAATAAATAGAAATGTGGAAGATGGTTGCATGCTTCTAATCTTCTATGTATTTTCCTCTTTGTGATAAATGATACTTAAATAAATCTTTTACAAAATGTTTACCAGTAGTGTTGGTTGATCTTTTTGGTGACTTTTTTGTTTAAGTGCTTCAGTGTGCTGCAGACAGTCCAGCATACTTAGTTGCAGGTTTAGTGGTTGATCCATGCTTCGGTAGAAGTCCTTATGTGGCTGGAGAACTTGGAATCTCTCTAACACACAGTCCTGTGTTAAAACCTTTGCATTTCAAATGCTTGGTGACTTCCCCTTGTCTGATTGGTACTTACCCATGAACTGGGAAAAGGGAATTGTACTGGAGGCTTTGAGCCCTTGGGGAAATCTGATGTCTGGTCAGCTCAGGCATTAAAAGCAGGGCAGACACCCAGTAGGACTGCAACATTTACACTGGAAAATGTCCAGAGTTGTTGGAGATACGCCATAACTTAGTGATGTTCTTCTATCATCAACAAAAAAACCAAACCAAAAAACCAAGGTACAAAAAACTTTCCACTCTTCCTCTTTTGTAGCAAGAGCTGTAAAGAGGTAAAAGATTATTTAATGATTTAGTATGGCTGAAGAAATAAAACACTTTACTGCTTTGGAAGATAAGAGCTTCCTGGTGTTAAATTCTGGGAAAATGGATTCAAATTGTTGCAGTGTAGAATTTTTGGGGTTATTCCTGTATTTTCAATATGTATCTCTGTACACATTTAAAAATGCTCTGTTAGGGCTGTGCTACCAGCAGTAGTTTCCCCTTTTTAATGAACTCGGGTGCCACCTGTGAGAGCACTTTGAAGTGCAGTGGTCTCAGAGCCTCTCTGCCCCGTTCTGGCAGTGCTGTCCTGGTGGTTACCCCAAGGGGGTACCCGGGGTGGGCCCAGTGCTGTTGGCAGCTGCACTCTTATTTCCAGATTCTGAGGAGCTGCACTGCATCTGAACTCCCACAGAGGCTCCAAACCCAGGGCATCTTTAGATGCTGCCAGGCACTGTTTCAGTGTGACTGTGGTTTCATGCAGTATAAGAAACAGCTGAAACTGGGCGTTGCTCAAACATGGATTCCAGCACACTCTGCTTTGGGTCCCTCTGCAGTGAGGGAGTGTCTGTGTGTCTGATCGTGAGTGGGCAAAGAGCTCCTGCCAAGGGCTGTTTACTGAGACTGTCCTGGTGGGTGGCTGACCATGTGTGTGAGCAGTATTTGACAGCAGCAGGCACTGCCTGAAATCTGTCTGGGGGGTGTGTGCATGTGCTCTTGCTCTAAAAAGCTGCAGTGTCTTCTGAGAGAGAGAAACCATTATACTCCCCTGGAGCCCTGCCCTGTGGCTTTCTCTGCCTGAAGGGTGGTGGTCCCTCTTCCCTGCCACCGTTTGCAGCCTTTGGGAATGTGATGGTGGCCTCTTCTACTGTGCTTTCGTGGTAGAACTTGCTGAAGAGAGTCAGTGCCTGCCTGATACTGTACAGCTGGGGGCTTGGTGGTTCCTCTTCTAAATCAAGGCTTCCTGTTCCCCTGATGGAGGTGATGAGAGAGAAGATGATCCTGCATGTGAAAAATGCCAGTCCCTTGTTTTTAGAACTTTAAAAGTTTAATAGTAATAAAATGGTTATAAAAATAGTAATATAATTAGAGTAATAAAAATTTGAACAATTGGGATTAGGACAATATGAGACAATAAAAACAAAGAGTTACAGACGGTCTGGGTACCTCTTTCTGGGCAAAAGAAGCCCGAAAAAGGACACACGTTAACAGAGGATTAACCCTTAAAAGCAATAGCCTGTCGCATATTCATACATCTCATACATGATGCATAAATTCCATTCAAACAAAGGATTCTGTCTGATCAGTGTCAACTTCTTCCTCTTACTCCTGACGGCGTCTTCATGCCTGAGCAAGGCGGGAAGAAGTTCTTCTGATAAGTGAGCAATAAATTCTTTTTCTCTGAAAGATTTAGGTGTCCTGTGGCTGCTATCTCGGTGCGAGTCCTTTCTTTAAAAAAGTATCTTACATAGTTTCTATTTTAACATTATGTTATAACCTAAAACTATATTTAACACACTACTTAAGAAAATTAACACAACTTTCTAACAACACATACAATATTAGTTTTAAAATTTGCGAAAAGCCAATCATAAAATACCTATTTTTCACACTGCAGTACAACGAGATACAATTTGGCAAACGCGTCTTCTAACTCCCTGTGCTGGAGATGAGGGTGCCTTTGTGCCTAAAGCCGTGCTTTCCCAAAAGCTCACTGCAGCTTCCTGCAGGAACTGGCCAAAATGTCCTTGGCCACGTTTGGCAACAGAGCTGGCAGTTCCTTGTGCCTCGGTGATCACATTAGGAGCTTTTCTCCCGTTCTTTGCAACTACTGTCCTGGAGGCTGAAATGCAAAATAAGCCTGGAAGGAGGAACGGTGTGTCAGCTGCGCCCAGGTTTGAGCTCCGCCCCGGCCCTGCCGCACGTTCCCAGCGAGGAGCTCTGATCCTCGCCCCGTCTCTCTCCCCGGTGCTGAGCGCCCGTCGGGGCGGGGGAGCGAGGGTCCCCGGCCCGCCCTGCGGAGGAGGCGGCGGGGGCGGCCGATGCCCCCTCGCTGTCCCGTCCCCCTTCCCGCTCCCGGCAGCTTTAAAGGCGGCGCGGCGGGCACGGGCCCGGCGGCAGCAGCACCATGGGGCGGGCGCTCGGCATCCTGCGCTGCTGCCTGGCGCTGGCGCTGGCGCTGCCGCCGCTGCCCGCGGCTCCGCAGGGCCCCGCGCTCCGCCCGCGCCGGCAGCCGCGCCCCGGCGGCCGCTCCGCAGGTACCGCACCGGGCCCGGCCCGCTCCGCGCTCCCGCTGCCGCTCCGCGCAGCCCTTCCCTACCTGAACCCCGCGTAGCTGTTCCCTGCCTGCGCTCATTGCTCGAAACATCTTTATTTCAGACTCGCGGAAGGACCAGGTTACTGAAAAGGTTTTTTTCCTTTTCAATCTAAAAAAGGGAAGTTTTCTACCTACAAATACTGCACTGGCCACTGGCTCCACTGGCTCACTAGCTCTTTTTTCTTTCTTTTCTTTCTTTTTATTTTTTTTTTTGACAAACCTTGTCTTTTTTTTTTTTTTTCCTTCATGTCTTAAACTACGCATGCATGCACTAACATTTCTTCATGTTCTTTTCAGCTTCCCAAAGGCGAAACTGAGTGAAACTGAGTTACAGGATGAATATAGAATTGTATAGAATATAGCTTGGGTGGGATCCTAGATTCGGCTGGTCTATTACTCCATCCAAAGGCAAAATCAACTATGCTGCTGTGCTTCCTGAGGGAATTTGTGCAATTTCTTTTTTTCCCTCTCTTTTCACTTGAATTAGAAAAAAAGGTTTCTAGTGTCTTGGGGGAAAAAAAAAGTGCTGTTCTCACCTCTACTTTTAAGATACTTGTGAAGATTTTTTAAAATTTCAGCTGGAACAGAATAATAAAAGTCACCTTGATAGTAGCCAGGAGAGGTGGGTCAGGTTCCCAAAACAGCCCTCAAGGTGTGAATTCAAACTGAACACTTCATATTTTGCTATTTAATGCACTGGTGAGCCAGGATGTCTCTTTTATAGAAATACTCTTGTTTTGGGTTGCCCATTTTTCAGCTGCAAATCCAGCCTTCATGGTATAAATTAAGTACAAGGTACTGTCTGTGTCAGGATGTGGTATATCAGGACAGGGAGGGGGCATTTCCTTTGCCTGCTGTCACTGTCTTGATTGGTTTTTGTCTTCCTAGAGGTGATGTTTGTCTCTGATCTAGGCTATGGCTTTTCTGCTTCTGTCTAGATTTATATGGCAGTGAGGAACTTTGGAAATGTGTGTGTAAATGTTTATTTTTACATATAAAATTATTTCATGAGTAATTTCATTTTTCTCTCTCTGCTCTACAAGCCATAAACAATAACAATTTCCAAAGAAGCCTTTTTACAACATCATTTGTGTCTTTTTCCTTGTTGTCCTTTATTTGTTCTGGTTGTGTATTTTGGATTGTGATTTACAAACAAGAAATAATTCCTGATTAGCAGTTTATATTGTTACTATCCAAAAATATATTATGATCCATTCCCTATATGATCTAGTCAGATGTTTTGCCATTTTATTTATTTATCTTATAAAAACTGGAATTCAAGCATTATGAAAATAAACAGTAAATACATTTATATATAATTATTTCATTTATTTGTTGGCTGTTACATGAAAACCACCACCCTTTGTTTCAAGGATAGTTAGACATTTTGAGCGCTCAAATGTGCACCTATCTATTAATGCTTAGAAAAACCCAGTTATTTATTACTTGTCAAAATTAATATTTACGGCTCTCTAATATGTTGCTCACTATAATTTGAAGCCTCTTCATAAAGAATCACCAGCATTATGTGGCAGGAGTAGTTTGCCATGACAGCACTCGCTGCCCTTGGGTGAAGCTCCTGCCCCATGTGGGAGATGACTGCAGCATTTTCCTTCCCTCTTGGCAGACACCGCCTGTAAGAACCGGCCTCTAGACCTCCTCTTCATCGTAGACAGCTCCCGCAGCGTCCGACCCGAAGAGTTTGAGAAAGTGAAACTCTTCCTGTCAGAAATGATTGATACCCTGGATGTCGGTGAAAGAACGACGCGCGTGGCTGTCATGAACTACGCCAGCACTGTCAAGGTGGAGTTTCCCCTCCGGACCCACTTTGACAAAGCCTCTCTGAAGGAGGCTGTGTCCCGCATTGCGCCCTTGTCTGCTGGCACCATGACCGGCCTTGCCATCCAAACTGCCATGGAAGAAGTCTTCACTGAGGAAATGGGCGCCCGGCCAGCAACCTTCAGCATCCCCAGGGTGGTCATTGTAGTGACGGACGGACGGCCGCAGGACCAGGTCCAAGGTGTGGCGGCGAGCGCGCGGACGGCCGGCATCGAGATCTACGCCGTCGGGGTGGGCCGGGCAGACGTGCAGTCCCTGAGGATGATGGCCAGCGAGCCCCTGGATGAACACATCTTCTATGTGGAGACCTACGGCGTGATCGAAAAGCTGACATCCAGATTCAGGGAGACCTTCTGTGGTAAGGGGAGCAGTCCAAGAGAGCAGTGTAACTCGGCTCCTTTTGACTGCTGCTGTGGTTGCACTCCGTAAGAAAGACGTTTTTCAGAAGTGTTATGTATCACATCTAAATCACATCCTTTACCATCCGTTGGGCAAACAAGCCAACCCTCTTTTTCAGTGGAGGCCAAGTAATGGCCTTTTCATTTTGAATAGTGACCTTAGTGTAATGTAGGTAACAGACCTGACTCGCGTGAACCTCCTTGTGCAGTTGGTCAGATTTAGAGAGAAAGAGAAATCACAGCAATCTGGACAAGGTTTGACTCTATATATTTACTGAATTTCTGAAGGTACACCAGAGCTGTGCAGGCTGCTCGTTTCTTTTTCCATCTCACTGGGAAGCAAGGAGGGTGGGTGTGTGGAGCTGAAGGGATTCCCTGTAGGTTCAGAGCAGGACAATCAGCGTGGCAGGTTACCACCACACTGGCTTGAGCAATCTGGTGCAGGATAAAGTGCCCAAATGCAGCAGCAGATCATCTCAGGACAGGCTTTCACTCCTTAGGCACTGCTGGGCTTTTCCAGTGTGCCAGGCTCACATCTCCCTCTGTTTCTCTGCAACTTGATTTAGACAAGGAACTGTGGGATGGGATTAATTAGCTTTGCTTTTTCAGGGCTGATCTTCAAAAAATGCTGTATGTATTTGGTTTAGGCTAGAACTCCCCTAACAATGCTAGGCCAGAGTGGGCTGTTACTGTCTTTTACAGGGAAAAAAGATCATCTGGAGTATTTAGAACTGCCTATAGATAGCTGTGACACAGCCCTACTCACAAAAATCAAAATACAACTTTGTGACAATTAAAAAACTTGTGCAAAGTAGATTTTTCTAGTGAATTTCAAAGAAATTTACTTTAAAATAAATCTCCAGCAAATAATAGGTAAAGTAGGTATAAATGACATTGTAAAAGAATTAAAATAACAGCCACTTCCTTGGGAACTTGGTTGGCAGTCTGTTACTTTTGTTATTTCAGAGCCTTACTAAAAATGACCACTACACCTTTTGAGTATGTTTTAAGTGAATAAACCTCTTTCTCTAGGTATGAAATAATTGTGTAAGACCATCTGCAGACAGGACACTTTGCCAGTAATTAGCATAGGAAATGCCTTGAGGTTTGGTTTGACAGCATATTGTGCTGCTGGTGTGACCAGACCCTCACAAGTGCCCACCCGGCTGGACAGGTACGTGTGCTGTGAACACAGCACTCGTGTCCACTATGTTCTCACCAAGGCAAGCCCTTTCATAGCAGCAAAGAAAAATCTCTTGTTCTTAGGAATTTCTTAGGAATAAACTGTTTATTGTGCTGTAGCATAGAAATTAGGCCCCTGCAAGGCTGGAGGGTAAATCAGAGAGCTCACACATGTACACTTCCAGTGGAACTCTGAGTCGCTTGCGTGCAGTTTGCCAGAATCTGGGATTCGTGAAAATAACAGGGTGAAGGAAAACAGTCTTTAAAAAGACTCCTATAAACCAAATGAATCTAAGAGGGTCTTTTAAGTCAGTGTGGTAAACTGGGTCTCTTTACAGCTGCAGAGTGCTTTTTGGTCAGAAATCTGGACTCACCAGTGGCAATTAGGATTTTCTTTCACTTTGACCGAGGCAATTAATTTATTTGCAGGGTGAACTGAAAACAGGGAAATTATTGTTCAGGGGAAAAACAGTTGGCTAAGATCAAGTTCTTGATGCACTGAGAGCATTATTCAGCGTGAAGCCATCCCAGAGATGGAAAAGTCTTAGCCTTGAGTAGCTGTCCAAGTCAGTGGACATTTGACTTTCCTACCACAAAAATCTGACTATTTGAGTCTAAGCTTCTCACTTATGCTTGAAAAGATCACCCAGAGATTTTGTTCATGTAAAATGTAAAGACAAGACAACTCTATCAGCCTTTTTTAGAAGAATTCTAAATCTTCCTTGTTTTAGAAAATGGGAATGTTGCCATTTTGTTGCCACAAAATTGCCTTATTTTCAGAAACACATGAGAAGGTTTAAGCTCTCTTGCTTCTGATTTTTTATCTCACCAGTATTGCTTTGGAGATTGATTTTACCAGTAGTCCATACCCACAATAATACTAATTAGTAACTACAAATCTAAGTAAAAATCTCAGGTAAAACCTTCCCTTCCCTTCCCTTCCCTTCCCTTCCCTTCCCTTCCCTTCCCTTCCCTTCCCTTCCCTTCCCTTCCCTTCCCTTCCCTTCCCTTCCCTTCCCTTCCCTTCCCTTCCCTTCCCTTCCCTTCCCTTCCCTTCCCTTCCCTTCCCTTCCCTTCCCTTCCCTTCCCTTCCCTTCCCTTCCCTTCCCTTCCCTTCCCTTCCCTTCCCTTCCCTTCCCTTCCCCATAATAGAAAGGAATTGCATACAAAGACTCAGAAGAGCTTTTCATGGCTGAGTTCCTGTGTAATGTTACTGGATGCTTAATATCTCTCCTTGTTGAACCATCTCATTTTCAATTCATCTTTTCCCCTGCCACCTCAGGTAACGAGTTATTTCCCTGCCGTTTATGGCCTCTCTCTCCTGGCTATGGAGTGCTGCAAAGGAGGTCTGTAACTTGTGACAGGAACACTGCACTGACATTTACTACCAGTAATCCAGCAAACAGTGCAAGATGTACTTGTGTAAGCATGAATGAGTAATGCCTGTTCCTGTCCTCCGGGGTGGCTGAAGTAGCTCCCTGTCACTGCCCTCTGCAGCTGTGAGCGTGTGTGCCCTGGGGAGCCACGGCTGCCAGCAGCTCTGTGTGAGTGATGGGGCATCCCACCTCTGTGACTGCTATGAGGGATACACCCTGAATCCAGATAACAGAACCTGCTCAGGTATTATTCCTTTGGATAATGAGTTCAACTAGGAAAAAAAAAAACAAACCACTATTCATGGTTTTGAGATGCTACTTGTTTGCTTCTGTTGAAAAAACAAACATGTATCTTTTTCAATAAGAATTCTAGACATGAATAATAAATAAAACTCAGCTGCAAGTAATGGTGAGATGTAGTTTGATTCTATCACTGTCCTTTTTATTGTGCCTACAGATCCATTCATTAGGGCCAGATGCTGGAACAAAGTCTCCAAATGTAGACACTATAGATATTTTCTCCTACCACTTGTTCTAATTCCTTCAATTACTATTGCCATTTCTGAGCTGATTCCAAATCAAAATTTATTTAAAAATAGGAGTGTGCACTCCATCCCAAACTGCTTGTTATTAACAATAAGTTTTGTCTCTAACATGCCTGCCAAGCTATGGACCTGTGTGCACCTGGGAGGCACGAGTGTGACCAGATCTGTGTGAGTAACAACAGATCCTATGTCTGTGACTGCTATGAAGGCTACACCTTGAATCCAGACAAAAAGACTTGCTCAGGTAAGAATTAAAGGCTACTTGATTATATGAAACTCATAGAGATATGGACATGTTTTCTGTGAATTACCCTAAAATGAGAACTCAGCTGAAGTCTTTTCCTTGTTTCCAATAACAGTAACATTGCATTATTCTTTACATTTGTTGATTAGAAAATGCAGTTTTGCACTTATCTACCATTTTATTTTATTTGTTTATTCTTCACAGAATTCCATAAACACTGTTTAGCTGCTTAGTCTGACACAGGGCAGGTTATTGCTCATCTCGTGGCGGTTTTTAGCTTCATCCTTACTGGGGATGTACAAGACTCTTGGAATTGCTGATGAAAGAGAGAACTGCATGAGAAGTGGTGTAGTCATGTCTTGCAGTATCTGCCTCCTCCATTAAATAATTAATAACTGAATTCATCTGTCTGCAGCATAATATAATAATGTAGTAGGACACTGGTTAAATCATAAGGAAATTATAATTTAAAATGTTGAGCATTTAAAACAGTATCTGGGAGGGATTAACAGGTTTCTTTCCTAAACCATGGCTCACCACAGCCATGGACATGTGTGCACCTGGGAGGCATGACTGTGCCCAAGTCTGTCTGAGTAATGATGGATCCTACAGCTGTGGCTGCTATGAAGGATACACTCTGAATCCAGACAAGAAGACTTGCTCAGGTAAGATCTGATTAAGGAAAAATGTGTTCCACTAAAAGCAAGCAGCTTTTAAAAATCTGGATAATTGATTTTTTCTGATAAATTATCCCAGAGTTTCTGTACAACTCCTGAAAACTCAGGGCAACTTTGTTTTTCCATACGTACAGTAGTAAAATCAGATCCTTGGCTCTTCTGCAGTAGTGTGAAGGTTGTATTTGGTTAAAATTAAAATGCCATTTAGCATTTCCTTGAGGACCTCACAGTATTTTCATACCCATGGAGCATGAATTGCCATATCCAGTATGTGATTTGGACCACTTCTGTCAGAAAATCTGCAGTAAAGCAGCACAAGGGAATGAGATGAGGGAGAACATGGACTGTGCTGGAAGAATGATTGTAGTCTGTATCATCATGAGTGTGATTGCTCTTTCTGGTGGATGTGTTTGGACCTTAAAAATATTCCAGCCTTAAGGCTCTAGAAGATGGAGGGAAATGTTCCTTCTCAGTGCTGGTCTCTTGTGGAGAACAAGAGCATAGATGTAGCTGGTACTCAGGGATGTACACATAAGTATATATTATCTACAAATTGTTATCTATTCTATAATATCTTCACTTGATTAGGGTTTGATCTTCACTCTGAATTTCTTTGGATGTCTCATGATTTATTTAGGCAAAATCCTTTTTTTCCCCCAGTTCCACTATAATCCCTTTCCTTCCTATATTTTGTGTGACAAACTGTTGGATTTAGGCTTCCAGTTTCAGGAAGTTCCTGGGCAAATCTCTCAAGGTAAGTCACACGTCTCACATTTCAAAGAGGTGAAGCCAGAGAGTCTCAGTATTTCTTCCTGCCTAGGTTAGGAGCTGATTTTGTAAATATGGTGCTTAGGATGAGCTCTTAGCTGGCATTACAGAGAGGCAATAAACATGTAATGGAATGTAAATTCAGTTAGGCCTCTCCTTTGGGAGTCTAATCCCAAACCTCATTTCATAGCCCTGATTCTCCTTCTGCTTACTCAAACTTTAAATTATTTTCTTCACATGCTTGCTTTTTTTTCCCTTTTGAATCTCATTTAAATGATGCAAAAATAGTCTAGGTCTGGGAGAGGGTCTTTTTTTCCCTTTTCTTTTACCTTTTTCTTTTTTTTTTTTTCTTTTCCTTTGCTTCCTTTCCCTTCTCCTTTCTTTCTCTCTTGCTCTCTTTTCTCTCTTCCTTTCTTTCTCCACTCTTTATTTTTTCTTGTGCCTTGCTGGGCCCTCTTACTGCAAAGATATCCAAATATAGGAGCTCCTTCTCAGCGTGCCCTTTCAGAATTGACGTGTTAAATTTGGCAGAAAACAGCAGCCTCACACATAAAGTGCCCACTTTGTAACTGGCAGTGGGTGTCACATCTTTTTTAGCAGCCACATATACTTTTCTGTTTATGGTCTTTTCACTCCATAAAACAGTGTCTTCTCCAACTCAATTAGAGCTGAAATAATGCCAAATAGTCTCTTAAAATCAAGATATTTGTTCTCTGAAATTCTGTTGGATAATTGTTTTGTAACTTCTTCACTTTCAGTTCCATTCCTTATGCCATCTGTTACAGCTGCAAAAAAGCGTTGCCAGTATTCCAAAATTTCCTACTAATTTTGTGACGTTGATAGTCAGATAAAAACATGCTCTGTGCACCCTGCTCTGGTTAACAGCATGCTGACATGCAGTAAAAACATCCTGGTGTGAATGCAAATGAAGATACATTTGCTAATGGGAATCACTATGACCAGCTCTAAAGTTTGGATATGGGTTGATATTCTCTAAAGTTTGGATATGGGTTGATATTCTCTAAAGTTTGGAGCTTACACCTGCACTCGGGTGTTAAAAACAGTTCTGTGTCACTCTGCCTTGCCCACTTGAGCAAATGTCAGAGACACAAAGAACTTTATATGGAACAATGTTAGTAAATACTCCCCATGCCATCTTTGTCAACTTATAAATAAGGCCTTCCCTAATTTATGTAATATTCAGCAAACCCAGAACTGACAAATTGTTGAGAAGAGCTGTTAGTCACACACTTTGCAGTACTGTGCAATGTGTGTACCACCATGCAAGACAGTTTGAGGTGATGTCCTCCCCTCCAGCCTGAATTTCATCTTGCTGTTCCTTTCTTTAGCTTCTCAGTGACTTTGTGTTACAGTAAAAATAGAACAATTTCAGAAGTGTTTCTTTTCTTCCCAGTCTGCTTACTGTAAAGTTATTGCATACTGGAAACCTTTCCTAGTGTGCCTTTGGAGCTGATGTGGCATCTCACATCTGGTGGGGTTACACAGCTGGGTCAGAGGGAGCAAGCTCTGAGGTATCCCTTGCATTAATTAATGTGTTAATCCCCAGTAAGACAATTGCTGCTCCAAGGTGAGATCAGTTACACATCTCAGCAGTCCCTGATAAGATTCATAGAGGAGAGGCTCCCAGCATGGAAAAGCATTGCCATTGGGAAGAATTAAAAAATGTTATCTTAGTTTTGGATAACTGCTTCTCCAAAGCACATCCTGTGTGAACTGGTGTGTGTGCACCAGGAACCTATGACTGGCAGCAGATCTGTGTGAGTGATCACAGACCTGTGACTGCTATGGAGGCTTTATCTTAAATTCAGATGACAAAACATGCTCAAGTAATAACTTAATATTTGGATTTTTTCCTGAATATGTTTATTTATTGAAGCACCTCTTTTTAATGTGTTAAACATCTTTAATCTGTTTGAGAAATGGTCTATCAACTCACAAGCTCTCAGGAAGTATAATCCCTTTTCATTCTTTTATACCTCTTTCCACAATATTTTGAGCTAGTTTGGTTCTTCTCCTTTAGTTTTAGCAGTTGCTGTATTTAAAGCTAGTTTAATGTTGTCATCACACCTTGAAGGACTCGCTGTATTTAAAAATACACTCTGCATTCCTGAAATGGGAATAATTGGGGGTGTTGGGAAAGCAGGGTTCTGGGGCATCTGTCTCAGGGATGTGAGTCTCCATTGCCTACCAGCATTTGGAGAATGGCTGGAGGGTCCCCAGAGGAACACAAATACTCAGGTTAGAACTGCTGCAATGCTAAACCTTGCATCCTTGGCATCTCCTCTGAGCTCAGTGGGGAAAGAATGAACTCACCAACTGTTTTCAGATGGGCAATACTGGGATCAAGTGTTGGCAGAACGTCTCCACAGTTTGATGTAGAATCCAAAGTTAAGTTGGGTAGGAAGGGACCTCAAGAGCTGCCCAGCTGTACCTCTGGTTCACAGTGGGAATCACCTGCCATCACATCAAGTGGCTGAAGATGCTGTGTAAGAGCACAGTTATAAAATTGGTGGATATAGACAAACACCATCTGCAAAAATAGTTCTTTGTTGATCTGGACTTGACCACAAAGGCAGTGTAAAAACACAGCTTAGCATGCTTTGTGTGTCTTGTTGGGCATCCCAGGGGCAACAGGAATCCCCAAATTTTGAATATCAAATACTGGAACACTTTCAATTTCACAGTAGGACTGTAGAAGAATTCAGAACACCTTTGAACAATTGCCAGAGGTGGTTGGAAAAATAATTTTGTTAAAAGAGACAAAATCCAAGGAGGATCAGTATCTATCATTGGAGAATTTAAATGCAGACATAAAAAGTTAACTGGCAGTTGGTTGGAAACCAACCATGTTGGTGTGATGTTCTGAACTGGCCTTCCTCCAGCAGACTCTTGAACAGCTCTTCTTTGTACATTGACCATAAAGCCAGTGGAATGTTCCAAAGAGGGGAGCTGAACAAATACAGCCTCAGTGGAATCAAGGAGACACCAATTTCAACATTGGCTTTAACACAAATGAGTTTCTGCACTGCCAGATCTGCAACCTCATAGATTTTGCAGTTTCCTTTTAAAATGGGAGTATTAATGGCATGATTGACCAAAAAAACCAAAAAAAAAAAACAAAAAGCAAAGCAAACCAAAACCAATTAAAAAAAAAAAAAGAAGCCAAAACAGTCCAGGGAAAAACAGAAATGTACTTGTGTATAATTTACTGTTTCTATAATTTACTTTACAATGCTCACACACATTGTTTGACATTGATCAGCTATGCATTTATATATCTAGAGAAAAAAAATTATTAATATGCTATTGTTGCCTTTGCAAGTAATGTAAAAAAAAAACATTTATTAAGAGATGGGTATTTTATACATGTAATACCTCTTGATAACTTATTGAAAATGTATTTGTAGGCTCTCTTTGAAGAAGGCTTTGCTTTTGGAAGCTTATTATTCCAGTCTCAGATGTGGATGGTGAACTCACTACAGTACCTGTGCTGCAGTAGCTGTTGATACATTTGTTCTCAGCCTTCAGCAAAATGGTGCAGCCTTAACTTATTTACTTTATGGAGTAGGTGATATTAAATTGCCTTTCATACCGCCAAGATCTCACAGCCATCTACTGATGCTTGATATTATTATACTACAGTGAAATTGTCATCATTGCTGATTTTTTCTGTGAATTATGGAGAAAAAGGAATTGTTGAGGACAGCTGAGGTTGGTCTCGTGCAAGTCTGCAAGACTGAGTTCAAGACTTAGGAACAGATTCAATGGAAGCACTGTGGAATATAGCAATGATCACTTTCCCTTTCTGAAGAGATTGGTAACTCCTGTTATACTAACTGGCTCCTCCAGTTAGATTGCTGGGTCTTTCTGCCAGATTATAAATTCACTTGGGCCTATTTGAATGATGTCATTCCCTCCATCTATATTCATGTGACATTTGAATGGCTTTGTGTCCATCCTCCCTAGGCATGCATGTCGCAAATGTCAGAAACCAAGAGTACTTGGGGGGTAACACAATTAAAGTTGAAAGGGAGGCTGCTTGGTCTCTGCAGCCAGGCCCTTTTTAATTTCTATTTTTTCTCAGTAATGGTCTAATTTAAAGAGTGTAGAGGATCCAGGTAGGCAGGTGAGGAACATCCTGCTCTGCTTCCTTCTTGGCTCGAGTTGAGCTCTCTGTTCCCTGCCCTGGACTCACTCAGGTCTCTGGCTACACACCAGCCCCTGTTCACTGCTGCTCCTCCTTCCCACCTGCCCTGGCTTGCAGTGCTTGCTGTAGTCTCACAGCGTGGGTTTGATCCTTCCACACAAGCAAGAATTTTCTTGGGATTTAAATGTTCAATAACTGTAGTAAATATAGTAAATGCTGTTTTCTCTCTTAGGAGCCATAACAAGCAGTCTTGTAACTGAAGAGTCCTGTAAGTGTGAAGCCATAGCTGCCCTCCAGGACTCAGTGACCTCACGCCTCGAAGCTCTGTCCACAAAATATATCCTTTTTCTGACATGATCACCTGCATTCAGCATTTTCCTGGTATTTTAGAGGTAGCTGTTTTGTTATTAACCAGGGAAGAAATATCCAGGGAAGAAAGTATTTTCAGGGTGATTTTAGAAATATTATGGAAAAAAAGATAGGTTGTTGCAAACACCACTATGTTTTCACATTTCATTGAAGAGCAACATGATACAGATAAAATAAATGCATATGCCCACACTCCCTAGATTATATCTGCCATTTTGAACATCAAGCACTGTTCATCAAACTCATAATTCTAGTGGCTGGCTTTTACTGTTACATCAGACACTCAGTTTTGAGCCCTCCTATTATGTCCCAAAACTTTAGGGACAACTTCACGGGCAGTGTGACAAGAGTCCCATTAGCTGTGGTATCCCTCTGCATCCCACCTCCATGGGCAGGCACTGTCCCAAGTGATTTTCAAGCACCTTCTTTTCCCTGAAAACGTGTGAGCCTGTTAATATGCAGGCATGCAGGAGCATGAGAGGGCTGCAAGGCAGGGTGCTGGAGGCTCTGGGCAGGCCAGGTACCCGTGGGGGACCCGAGGTGCCGGCTGGGGTGGGATTTGCCAGCTGCGTTTGCTGCAGTGCCGCGGCTGCAGCTGGGAAGGGAATCGCGGTCAGCCCCCGGATCAGACATTCCACAAACATGTGGGAGAGAAAAGAAACCCCGAGCAATAAACAAAGAGAAAGTGGTGATCTCTGTGGTACCACAGTAAGCCTGAATGCTGAAATAAATGCCCTCAGATGACATGGTAGGAACTAATAACTGGAAGTTGAAGTTGGACAAGCTGTGGTACATCATAAGGCATAATTTTTAGAAGTGAGAGTGGTTGATCACTGCTACAATTTACCAAGGAAGGTCACAGATTTTCTTCACTGAAAACTTTTGAGACTGAAGGCTTTTTTTGTCAAAGGTGCTCTTATTCAAATAGGAATTCATTTAAAGGAGCATTATGTCTGTAGTTATCATCCCAATCTCTGAGGCTTCAAAATCAAGGAAGAGTGGACTATTTAAGATTAAAAAAAAGGAGAGCTTTATACATAATTTAGATAGATACAAGAATTTTTCAGTTTGCCAAAGTTTCTGAAAGTCAAATAAACACTTCTGCCAAGGACACAAAACTTTCCCAGTTTTTGGATAAATTCAAAGTTATTTTTATGAGATCTAATTGCACATCCCTCTTCATGCAGTGTGCTTGGAGTTCAGTTTATCTGCCTGGGAAAAGCAAGGGGAAGAACTCACATTTTCCTGGATGATAATATATAATTCTAGGGAATCTAATGAGTTAAATCTGAACACCAAGATATTTAAACCTGTAATGTCATCTCAGTAGTAGCATGTCCTTCAGAGATCAATCTTTCTGCCCCAAGAGCTCATGTTAAACAAGAGAATGTTGTAGGTTTAAGTTAGGAATAGACTTTATACAAAGAACTGAGCCTTTCTTTCAGAGTTATTCTTTGATGGCCATTTCTATCCCTAGCATCCTATCAAGACAATCTGGAAAACATAGCAGAGACCTTCTGCTCCTCGTCCCTGGGTATCACCTGATCCAACACTTTATAAGAAATTAGGGTTGTTGAGATTATTTGGGAAGATGCCAGATCTTGACAGAGCTCTAGTATGTTTGGAAATCTCTGTTTCAAGCATGTATTGACCTCACCCAGAAACCAGACTGTTTTTTTTTGAAAATGCAGCAATGAGAAAGACTGTAAATAAAACAAACCTTATAGCCATCTATTTTATTGCCCTTAACAACTGACCACTAGAGGAAGTGTCTGAGAAGCTGCAGGCATATCAAGACAGACAGCAAATTGTCTGAGCTATCATTTTGCTTTATTTTAAAATAATCTTTCAGAATCAAGCCTTTTTATTGTTTTCCGGAAGCTTTATTTCATTGCACAGCTTACAAAACAGCAGTGGTTAATTATTATGGACAAACATCAAGAAGATTTCAGGAAGACAAGAGTCTTGAAAATACAGTGACCCTAAGGATCTTCATGTACAGTCACTTTATAGCCATGAAGCTACTCATACCTGCTGTGCTTCAGTGTCTACTGCAGATACTGCTTTTCTGTAGTAACTGCATTTTTTATTCTCTTACTTCAAAGAAAATACAGGAAAAAAAGAATGGATACAGTATATTACATTATATAAAACTTTGAAGTGGCAAGGCAGAATGAAAAAATGTGCCTATGCATTCTTTCAATTAAATGGGAAAGTTGGAATCTTGTAACTTATTTTAATAAAATACAATATGATATGCACGTTGATGTTGGAAGTTATTTTGTATTCAACCTAAAGGACATGTGTTATGAAATAAAGGGTTTAAAAAACCCAAGGAAACAAAACTTCAAGGATAAAGGAGGCATACATGGAAGAAATAAACAGAACACTGCCCCACGTCACATGTTTTGAAAAAGAGGTATTTGATTTTAAAACTTAGATGTCTGTAATATAAGCTGTATAAACTGTATATATAGATAAAAGATTGAACAGTAATTTCAAGTACTAATAATGTTTAAAATGTAGAAGAACAAAAAAATCCTCCAATTTAATATTTTTATCCTTCAAGATTTACTTATGTTCTTAGTCAGACTTTCCTGTTGTCATTACTGATTTTATTGACACTTGTGTCAATCAGGCTTTTAGGAAAAAACACACAAGCTAAGAATTAAAAAAATAGTTGTTAAAGGAATCCAATTATATACACTTGGCATTTATAATCATCCAAATACTTTAGAAATGATATTTAAATTAGGAGTCAAAACCATAGGGTTTTTTAATGGAAAAATCCCACATATTTTGTAGACCTTTGCAATATAATTATACAAAATATCATATGTGGTAACTGGTTTGCCAAGGATGTATGAAACAACATCTGTACTTGTTTCACACCCTGCACATACCACATTCAAGCACGTTCAGTTATGTTCACTACACATGGGAGTGTGACTGCAGGTATGCCTGCACAGTAATGTGAAGCTGGAATATAACACGAAACAGCGCAAGTGAACATGGGACACAGCGACACAGCTTCAGCTGTAAGGGCTAAAAATGAGACTATAAACCCTCCAAGAATGCTGGATTTGGCTCTGATTTGTATTTTGTGGTGTGTCCCTGTACTGATATTAATTTGCTGCAGTACAATTAAAGTTAGCATGGGACATCCTGGCTATACTACACTTATTTCTTCAAAGTGCTGTGCATGCATATATTTTTTATATTTCTCCAAGTCATGGAGTTTTATATCCAGCACTTTGCTTACTTTCATGTCCTCTGCTTAAGCATGAGTATTATACAGGCATTTACAGGGCCAGAAGTATGCCTTGGCCTCTGTAATTGGTAAGAATAAACAAATTGTAAATCTAATGCAAGACTTTACAAGTTCTTGGCAATTGGGAGGGGATGACATCAGTCCTATTTACACTAAGGCCAGTTGTCAGATGAGATGTAAAATTTTATAGGATAGTGGAATATTGTCCTGGAGGCCAGATGTATCTTGCAAACTGTCAGCTGGGCAGGCTTTGATTCATGCACTAGTAATTGTAACTTCATTTTGTTTTACAAATGATAATATTTACATTCAATTCCACTGAGCAATCACCTGCCTCACTTTGTGAGTACCAAGTAAAACTCCAAGACGATATAAATGATTTGTTTAAAATAGGACATATTGTTGTTCAGAAAAATTGGATTTATTATCCAGTGTGCTACAAGCCAATAATTACACACTCAAAAGAGACTGATTATTTATTTCAGAGTTGTGCACCCAGGTCTGGGTGCTCAGTGGTGTTCCAAAAATCAAGAACATTGCCTTATAAAAACTTCTTAAACTTAGTAAAACACAAAAATATAGTAAAATTTCTCCTGAATACAATAAAATTGCAGTACAGATTCTGTTTTTGTCCATGTGCAGTTCATGAGTCCCAAGTCAGTTTCAGTTTTGGGGGTCTTTCTGTTAAGACCACCACAAAGTTGGAGGAATATGTTTGGTCTGTGTAATGAATTCATGAGTCCAGTCATTTCAATTCCATGGCTCTGTGTGTGGTTAGCAGTACCTGAAAAGGTCCTTTCCACTTCTCAGCTAGTGGATATCTTTCCAGGTTTTCAGGTAGACTTCATCTCCATGCTTGAAAGAATATATTGGTGACTTGATTGGGACTGGTGTTCTAAAGAGCAAGTACCTGTGTAATAATCTCAGGTTTTTCTTTAAAGACAAGAGATAATCTGTTAAAGCTTTTTCTCTTACCACATCATCTGGTCAGTTTTTCTTGTCAGTTTCACATTATGTGGTGTACCATACAGAATTTAAAATTTTTCTCAAATTTTTTTTACAACCTGGCAGACTCCTTCCAATGTATCAAATCAGTGGTTGAAAAGGGAACTTTTACATATACAGGGTTTTGGTGTGCCCAAATTCTACCTGCAATTGCACTAAATGCATCCCTTAATTCAGTCTTACCATCAGTACTTTCCTGGTCCCAATTATCACTATCCTGATTCTTTCTCAGAGAAACCAACAATTGTACACCTTCTTCTTCACTATCCACTTTCAGACACCTTTTCTCTATACTAGAAGCAGAACAGCAACAAGATAATTTCTTTTTCTCTTCCATCATCATTAACACATTTGAATCGGACACCAATTACCTGCATTTCTTTCTTGTTTTATGACCATTTCTCAATGAGAAAAATCCACACACAGGATTTCATCCCACTTATCTAATCTTCTGCAAAATAACAGTTGTAGCATGTTATTATAATTTAATGTTCCAATTTCTGGCCACTTTTTATCACCATCCAATTTATATTTTGGCCACCATTGAGTACAGTATTCTTTTAACTACCACTTTATAAGAAGTTCTCCACCAAACTTTTCCCAGTGATTCCAAATACATCCCAATGGAGAACAAGGAGAAGGTTTAACTGATTGCCCCATTCCACATTATTACCCAAAAAGAGAAAGATTTTTAACCATGACTTCATGGTTAAAATGAAGTCCACTTGTCACTCTCAAGCATGTATGAGTTTTCCAGAATTCTACTACACAATACCAATTCCACAATATTATATCAACCCCTCTATTTACTTTATACAGTCTCTTTTCATATATTGCATCTTTGTGTCTCTTATCCACTCCTGGATGAGGAGATAGTCCCTGACCAAAATGCCAATGGGTGCTGGAGTTACAGTGCTACAAGTTACATAGTTCTTCTATTAATTAGTGTTCTACCTTCTGTTGATCAATGATTCTCTTTCTTCTCATGTTAATCAGTCCATGTGCTCAGTCTTTCTTTTTGCTTTTGGTTTGGTGGATTTCTTGGGTCCGATGGCTGCAATCTGCCCTGCCGGAATTACCCTTTACCCAGTCTGAGCTGATTGCTGCACGACACTGAATTGACTTTATTAGTTTCCTTCTTACCTTGGGAGTTCTGCCAAAGGCGGGCCTTGCGGCCCATAAATTCTGCATTCTTTGTGTCCATTATCAGTGTGACATCCTTCTTCCCAAGCTTTATTAACCTCCCCCTAGGTCTGAGATCATCAAAACTTGTCCAGCTGTAAATTTTAACATGGCAGTATTAGTGACAAGTAATTTATTTTTCTAATACCTCAGCATCACTGAGAACTTGTTAGTGTAAAATACAAAGCTGTGTTTTATGTCAGGTACATAGAGACAATGTGTGTATTTGTGATTGTGATATGTGTGGAAACCGACTATAGGACAATTATAAAGACAAATTCTAATAATAACTGAGGAAAGTAAAGCATGGAAGAAGGCCTTTGAACCTATCTTTTGTTCGCAATTAACCTTAGTTGATTTAGGAGCATTTGAATTAAAGTGTTAAGGATGTTGCTCTTTGCTTGTAGTTAAGCCTTAAAGAGTTTTGTAATAATAACCTTTTGAAGTATAATTTTAGAATATTGCTTGTATCCCTGAAACTATAGCTTTGGAATATATATAAAGGAAACATGCTTATCTTATGCCTTAACAAAACAGAGAAAAGCAGCTTGAGAAAGGAAGATGAACATCACCTCAAGGATTTATGGTTTCAACTAAGGGAAGCTGGACATCACTGTTATGAGATTTATAGTCCTTGCAATTAAAAGGTGGACCCACATCTGGGGAGCTGGGTTCTACCAGATGGGATTCTTCTTCCTTCTTTCGGAAACTGGACCATCACCATCTGGGGATACTCCTTTCTGGGATACATCCTGAGAAAAACTAAATCACAATAGTGTATAGAATTGTGATGTAAAAATTGGGAATAGAAACTGCTGAGAAAGCTTATGAGTACCCCTATCATTACCTGTAAGCCTCAACTGTTGGTGTGCATTTGGAGGGAAAACTTCCCCCACTGTACCCAGCACTGTATTCCTCCTACTTTACCATATTAATTAATAAATTGATTGCTGCTTGAATATTGGCTTAGTCAAACTTCTTATTTATAACATTAGTTGTTCTTTGTTTCAATTATTAAGTCTCCTTCCTTTTTGATTAGGAATGCCTTTAAGCTGAAAAAGGGCAGGTTTAGGTAATATATTAGGAAGAAATTCGTTACTGTGGGGGTGGTGAGGCTCTGGCACAGAGAAGCTGTGGATGCTCCATCCCTGGAAGTGTTCAAGGCCAGGCTGGATGGGGCTCGGAGCAGCCTGGTCTAGTGGAAGGTGTCCTGGCTCATGGCAGGACATGGCAGGGATGTAGATGGCCTTTGGAGTCCCTTCCAACCCAAACCATTCTATGATTCTATGTTGATGTAAGTTACACTACAAACACCGCGTGCAGACAACCTGCGGTTCACAGACTTTGGGATTTTTCTTCGTGTAAAAGCAGCGTGACCTTTATTAACGAACTAGCAGTGCTTTCTAACCGAGCTGAGCACTCCCAAACCGCCTGGGCCGGGCGATGCCCTCAGGGCCCAGCGCGGGAATCCGAGCCCGCCGCCGGAGCGGGCACACCGTTAATGGCGCCGGCCGCTCCCCCGGAAGCGGCGCCATTTCCGCGGGCGGTTGCCAGGGGGACGCGGCGCCGGCTTGGCCGCGCTGCCGTGAGGGCCGGCCCGGGCGGCTCCCGCGCTCCGCCGCGATGTTCATCTACCTGTGCAAGAAGGTGCTGCTGGGGAGGCGCGGGCGGCGGAGGGCAGGCTGCTCTCGGGCAGGGGGAGCTGCCCTGGGGAGTCCCGGGGATCGGGAGCGCGGAGCCCGCGGGGGCTGAGGGGACCCTCGGGGCTCTCCCGCCGCCTGCGGCTGCTGCGAGGCGGCCGGA